CATTTAACATTTCCAAGGTAGTTTAAAGGTATAATGAAGCATAACATTACTCTGTCTCCTTTCCGCCAACACCACACCAGTTACAATGGGGCCCATGTTCTCTCCACCTCCAACACCACACCAGTTACAGACTGAGTGCTGTAGGCTGTGCGATGTTCTCTTCACCTCTTGCTCGACATCCTCTTAGGGTGCACGTTCTTGTAGTCCCGTACGTTCTCTTGCAAGCTCAGGACGAAATTCAGAAAGGTGTCCGTCTTGTTTCGTAGGAAGTTCTGAAGGTCTCCGTGGCAACAGTACTCAGTGATCACCAGTATCGGGCCTAATTGCAGACAAACAAGTAGAGTTGGGGGGGGGGATTTAATGGCTTTTAATTTACTTGCTAGTATTTGTGTTTGGGGGGCTCTGTATCTGATTTTCAAATGAATTGTACATTTCTTGTACTGAGCTGTTTAATAGGCACTTTTAATGTAAATCTCATAAAATGTACAGATGTGAGCCTTTTCACTGAAGGAAAGCTTTCTGTTTGGCCTACCTCCATGAGTGCAGGCTCCCAGAAGGTTGACGATGTTCTCGTGCCTTCCCAGATGGCTTAAGATCTTCAACTCCGACATCAGCGCTTCCTTCTCATCAGAGCGAGCGCTCGCTGCAAGAGACAAGTCCTGGTTTTTCATGGCCTCGGCAGAATTATGCCACGCCGTTCGTTCCGTTCACAAACACCTTCCAGCCTAAACACGGCGCCTCTACGTGTGGCAAAGACTCACGCTTCAGCATCTTTACTGCGACCTGCACGATGTCGTCCTCCTTCTCCAGGCCGTAAGCGGTCGCCTCCACCACCTTCCCGAATGCTCCTGCACCCAGGATTTTCCCTGGAACGAACGCAGACCAGGCCGGAAACCTCACAAAACATCATCTTCATATGTCCTCTATAATTTGCTGTGTTGTTCTGCTAGTAACACTCTTGAGGGGGCACAAATAATGTAGTAGTACACTCTTACTTAATGTATTAATTAACCAGTAACTAAGTGTTAGTTACATACAGATCCCATGTCTGTTCATCATTAATAAATCATGACGGTTCATGTATTTCATGCAGGTGCTATATTTGTTCATGATTTGTATCTGAGTAGTAACTGAGTTACATCCCAAAATAGTTACTATACTTGTGCCCCTTGAAGTTACTGCTTTGCTATGTCACTTTATCTCATATTTTGAAAGTAGTTTTACGGGTAGGACAGACATTCCTAGCATCACACTTCTGATGTTTCTAAGAATTATTTGTCAAAGTGTTGTGACGCTCTTAGCGGAATGAATCCTACCAAGCTCCAGCTTCTCCCGGGGAAATTCCAGATGGTCATTATATGGAAGCTGGGCAGGATCGATGAAGCTCGTGCTATCGCAGGCCTCGACGATCTTCCACCGGATTTCATATCTGGGTTTCTGGAGATCAGAACACGAATGCCACTTTGAGCCTGGATGTGCTGGATTCTGAATTTCTTAGCTGCACAAATTAAACCGCAAATGGAAGATATAAACGAAATGGTACAAGGTCTGTCTTACCTGTTTGTACTTATAGAACAAGATGATCAGCAGCAGCAGGAAAAAAACGGCCAACCCAACAGCTCCAGACATGATGGGTATGAACATCTTAAACCAAGCTTTACGGGAAGACATGAAATTAAAAACAAAACAGACATGCTAATTAAAATTTTAGATTACTTGCACATTTCTGAACATTTTAGTTCAGTGTTGGCGCCGGAACTGATCTGACAGCCAAGCCCAACATTTTCATGTGGGGGTGTGCATAGGGAGCAATGGTATTACCAGGATATCA